ACACACACACACACACACACACACACACACACACACACACACACGTTTTAACTTCAACTTTAACTTTATCATTAAACTTTCATTTTTAACTCCAACAATTTACGGTATTTTTTATAACCATTCATTTCTTTTCCCAGCATGCCCTCCCTTGTCCTACAAGCCGTTGCCAGGCAACGGTGCCTGCAGGCCCTGCTCTCATGGGTCACTGTCTCTAGTTTCCGGCCCGGCGCCAATGTGTGTGTGCGCTGCCGGCTACTTCACTAATCAACACGGTGACTGCCAGAGTATGTATAACTTATAACTATATAACCAAAGGACTCGTGGTACTTCCAGTGTAGTTATTATGAAAGTGTAGTTATTATCAGTAAACGTAGAAACACTATGCATCTGCTACTGTATACAATTCTTTTTATGTGTGTTTGTTTGTTGGTTTGTTGTTGTTGTTGTTGTTGTTGTTGTTGTTTGTTTGTTTTGTTTTGTTTGTTTTATTATGTTTTGTTTGTTTTGTTTCGTTTGTTTTGTTTTTTATTTGTTTTATTTTTCCTCACGCGTTACACGAATTCTCGAGTTTCCTAAAACTTTTTTCAAGAAATCAACGAATGCAAGTCGTTCGCGATATGGAAAAACGTTGTTTGAGTGTTACTACTACATTGCACAACATTTTGTCATCAACAGTATGACTTATCTGTTTCTTATTCTTTTTCTACCTGTCTATCTATTTCTCTTTCCCTCCATCCATCCATCTGTGCACTGAAAGGGAATTGGAGTTCAACTGCGCTTAAAATAAATCAGATGGCTGTATACTACCAGAACCTGTGTACATCTATAAGGAGTGCGTGAGACAATGAACGTGACACTAAGAGACTCAAATCGCGAATTCAAAACGTTTGCGAAAAAATGAAATGAGGGAATCACAAATAGAAAGAACCCTCCAAAATAAATAAAGCCCGGTCTATAATACATGCATGTGGTTACAAGTATATTAATAATATCATATTATATCATAACAGTGATTGCTTAAAAACGAATATTAATATTATATTCGCGGGGAATTATACTTCTGCAAATGTGTGTGTGATAGAAAGGTACACTTTCTTGTCGTATATAGGGTACAATTCACGCACCACACAACCTCTCGGACGATAAGGTGCCTTTATCTTTTGGGGGTTGGTGGGGGGGGGGT